CTGGAAACAAAGGAGATACCCATCAATTGGAGAATGGATGAACAAATAATGGTATAAGAATGTATGCCATGAGACATGATGAAAGAGGCAGTTACAGAGAAACCTGGGAAGACTTATAAGAACTGATTCAGAGTGAAATGAGCAGAACCCAGGAACACTTTGTACCATAGAAACTACAACATCAAAACAAACAACTTGAAATACTTAGGAACTTTGATCAATGCAATGACAAACCATGACTCCAGAGGATAATGAAGCCAGCTGTCTAATGCTTTATACAGTGAGACATACATTTTTGGACATGGGTTTGTTTTTATTTGACTGTGCATATTTGTTAGAAGGATTCTGTTTCTCTGGGCTTTTTTTTTTCTTTATGGGGATGGGGAGAGAGAAATGTGTGGGTAGAAGGGGTTAGCAAAAGTATTGTCCTCCTCCCAAAAAAAAGAAAATAAAAAGAAAAGGAGGGCATTGAAGCATTTAAAAGAAAGTTACGCAGACAAGAAGGACAGCTTTAAAAGTAACTTGTGTAATTTATTATATACTCTATACAAAAACCCTAAACTGTACATAGTAGATTTATGATTTCATATAGTGATTTTTTTTTGGTTATATTTTGTATACGATAATGATCTTTTCAATGTGTATAAAGATAATTATTTTTTTTAAGGAGAAAAAGGTTGGAAAGTAAAGTAATGGAAATAGTATTCATATCCAGGGAAATGACCTTTGCCCAAATGCTTTTTCCTTCAAAGAGAGTTAGAATAGATGTGTTTATTTAATTGTTTTCATTGTTTTAAATCTAATTTTAGTATTTTATGTTATTTTAAAAAAATAATCAAAGCCCATAAATCTCAAATGTTACTCTGTTTTACCTCACATATGGAAAGTGATATTTCCTGCTCTAATCACCTGTTTAAACTGAGCTACACAACTGCAAGAACTTCCTGAACTATAAATAGATGAGAGAAATATTATTTTCTTATTGGCTCAACATCTCTACCTGAGTCGTTTCTTGGAGTGATATTCTGTCTTCTGTAACTTGGGCAGCTGTTCACCTGCCACTCACTCTCTGTTCTTCTGACCCCGTTGCTCCTTTGTGCATCCTATTTCTTTGGGCTCCAAGAAATTGGCTGAGCTATACTGAGTGAAGCCATAGGTGGGAAAGATGGTACCTGCTTTCTTCCTTCTCCTAGTTACCCTTTTGTCTGCAGTTACAAAGGCCTTGAGTCTTCTCAGAAAGAAGCCCTTATATAAATATAAGGTATTATTCTTTTTATTTCCTATGGGTTTTTTTTGGTTGTAAGCTGTGGTCACTAAGATATGAAGGTTTTGTTTTTTTTATGGTGACAGTAATTTACTTGCAAACCAGGACCACCATGAATTTTTACTATTCTTTTTTAAATGACTGAATAAAAGTTTGAAATCACAAAATGCTAGTTCTTTGTATAAATGGTGCTTGAACTGAAATCTACGGTGGAGGGACCATTCTCTATCTTTTTTGCCTCTCTGCCACAAATAAGCTTGGCAATAAAGTGTTAATAATAGATGTAGATAGAGAGAAATTGTTAGATGAAATCTTTCTGCCATTAAGATAGAGAAGGCACTGATCCCAAGGTAGAAAAAATGATATTTTATCCTAGACACAAGGCCAAAGAGTCTGTTGTCTTAAAAAAATTTTTTTTTTAAGTCACAATCTGAAAAGTCACAAGCTGAAGCCAGCTTGCATTGTCAAGTTAATCTTCCTGGTGAGGAAATGTTTCTAACTTTTGTTGCTAGTAGAAGTTACAGCTATCATTAAATCATTTGGAGGCATAAGGTCTTTTAGGTAAAATTTTAGGTAAAATTTAGTGTTTATGCAGAATATTACAAGGCAGCTTTCCTTGTGACCCATATGTTAGGATTTGCTTCCCATTTGAGACTAGAACACTTCAAATTTCCAGGGGTTGGAATTCTCTTGTTTGATTTCTGCAAAAATAGAGCACTGATGCAAAATGGTACTCACTATTTAGTGTCTTGTCTTTAATCAATCAATCTTAAATTCAAAAGGTGGCTATGCAGACAGATTAAACAAAACTACCTTTTTTTCAGGAAAAACTTTAGAATGAGGATATTCTCTGGAGAATGAAAGAGAAAACCAATGCAGTATCTTTCTCATTCCAAATCTTAGAATTATGTGACACATACAGATCAGTCCCTGAAGTAATTTATGTGAAGGCATAGCAGGGAGGTACAAGGGAAGGAAAAAAAAATAATTTCTGAGTAATTAACAATGAGATCTGATGCAAATTTGTGTCATATTTTATGGTTTAAAGAAGAAAGATTTAAGAAATAGAAAATAGAAATGCTGTCAATTTGTAAGATGGAAATCAAGCGAAGATTATTCTATTTCCCAAGACTTAAGGAATTGGCAATTTCTCACATAGTCTGAAAGGTTGTTTGGAGAAAAATGGCATCAGTTCTTCTTTGAAAATATCATGGTTACTGACTGGCTTATAAAGCCTGGATTTGCAAAAAACAAAAACCCAAACCCCCAAAACAAAAACAAAATTCAACCTTATAAAGATTTATGGCTGTATTTTTAAGACAAAATTCTAGATTGTATGTGTGAGTGTGTGTGTGTATGTGCACGCGTGCACGCATATGTATTTAAGAAATTTAGAAAGAAAGTGCTGCATAAATCCAAATCCAAATTTCAAAAAATATCCTGCTATTAAGAGAAGCAGTGTCACAGCAGATAACAAAGTAGCTTAGAATCATAAAACTTCTAGGTTAGTCCTAACTATGGTACATACTGTGTTTGTGACCTACAGTATACATCATTTAACCTCTCAGCTCTCTAGGAAATCCTCTAAGACTCTAAATTGTAGAAAACTTGCAGACCTGCCTTGGCAAAGGGTATTTCTTCACCTGGGACAGCCTTATACCAAGATCACAGTTCAATCCCTATCCTTATTAATATCATTGTGTTTCTAAGCTATTACAATGTTTATTTTTTTTAAAAAAAAGCTAAAATATTTTTCAAGTATGATTAAGACAATTTGAATTTCAGTAGTGGTAGTCCTCTTATAGTGACATCTTTTAGTTTTGATTCTATTTATACAGTGTCCCAAAGTCTTGATGCAATTTTAAGATTATTAAAGATCAAGAAGTTTTAAGTTATTAGCATTTTTTAAATTTTACATTTAACCTATTAAAGCTTAAAATGTCACTAAGACTTTTGGGACATCCAATCCTCTAGTCATATATTTAGAGACTATTACCCTTCCTTCTTTTCAGAGACAGTGAAACGCTAAGAGGGTAAGTTGGTAAAGGGCTCTGAACCCTTTTGTGCTAATGATGCTCTGAGTGCTTCTGACACTGAGAGTGATGGCAAGAGTAATGCTGAGTAACCCAGGCCTAGGTATTGGTTAGTTGTGTCCGTGCATCCAATGGGGGGAAGAGATTAAGGCAAACCCCAGCATATTCAAAGTGGTGTCTTCCCCTCACTTCCTAAAAAAGTTATTAATGGTGCTTTCTGGTATCAACTAAAGGCAACATCATGACATCATCCCACATCAAGCACGATTAGGATGGGAAGGGAAGTGGTCATATTTTCCTTTCCATCTTTTATTCTCCTCATTTTATTAGCCATTCATTCATTCAATTCATTCAACAGTCATTTGTTTACTGTGTGCCAGCCACTTTTCCGATCACAAAGACAAAATCATAATTGGCTTTCTTCTTCTAGTAGCTGGGTTTCTGATGTTTGATAGCACCAGCATTTTCTGAGTCATATCCACCTTCATAGTCAGTCTCACACTTTCACTTTTCTGTCTTCTGATGTCGATGCCATCTGATTTCTCATCTTCTCTGCCTTGCAGAAAAGTAACAGAAATTAATTTGTCTACTAATACTTTCTACTAGTTCTCTTGCCACTTGACTGGTGTAAGCTGGTGTGACTGCTGAGGTGGAAATAGCATTGGATTTAGAATTGGAATACCTGCTTTCAAATTCTAGCTCTGCTCCTGATTACCTGATATCAAAGCATGACCTTGGGTAAATCACTTCCCATCTCTGGGTCTGAAATTTTTTATGTCTAAAATGAGGACATTGAACTAGATGAGGGATTTTTAACTTCAATTGTGTCGGCTGCCTTTTTGGCTGTAGGTGAAGCCTGTGGACCCCTTTCTCAGAATGTTTTTAAATGTATACAATAAAATATTTGTTTACCAAGGAAACCAACTCTATTGAAATGCAGTTATCAGAATATTTTTTAAAAGCAAGTTGATGGACCCCAGGTTAAGAACCCCACGAACCAAATTATCTTCAAGGTCTTTTATAGCTTAAGATTCTCTGCATGAACCAAAGAATCACTTTTCTTTCTCACAAGCTGGGTCTGAAAAATTGTTTGAACTATTTCAAACCTTTAACTTATGAAACAAATAATTTTCTTAATGATACTCAAGTGGCATGATCAAATTAATAGAATTCCTAAAATAATATAACTTAAACCCAGAGAATTTGCTGCTTGTTCCCTGAGAGAATCCGGCTTCAATCAGGAATGTGGTATAAATTCCTTTGTCTTTCAAGATTGTAGCACATGGGTGAGTGGTTCTTTGCGAAGTTGCCTTATTTTGTCTTCATTTCCTGTGGGGTTTTTTGTTGACTGACTTAAAGACTAATGGACCTGTTGATACCACTGCCTTTTTTAAAGATGGGCAGCATACCTGTTATCTACCAGCAGGTAGGAGGAGGTAAGGAAAGGAAGGGGGCAGGGCGGGTCTAGTGCTAATCAGATTGCATTAAATTTAGGAATGAAAAAACAACTGAATCAAAGGTGTATGATTCCACCTTGTAGTTACCTTTATGCTGCTTTGTCCCAGTGACTAATACAACCGTCTGTTTCTACTCCCACAAGCTGTCTGGTTCATCTTTTTTATTTGTCATCCGCACTGGTAATGATTGCTCACTCCTGGTTGGGTGTTTAAGGTAATTCTATTCTTCTATTTTCTGAACTTCAGGAGAAGGTAAAGCTTGATGCTGAGAGGGAAAAACTAGAGAGGCTGCAGGAAATATACTCCGAGCAGAAGACCCAGCTTGACAATTGCCCTGAGTCCATGAGGGAACAATTACAGCAGCAACTGAAGAGGGTCAGTAGCAATCAGGAATGCACCATTTAAATTTTTTCAAATTTTTCTTTTTCTCATTTTAAAAACAAAACAAAACTATCATATCCCCCTTTTTTTAAGTGTCCAATTTCCTCTCACTCATGTAGATCAGATAGCACAAAATTTGTCCTTAGCTGCCTGCTGGTTTAATGAATACATCATTGGAGTGCATGGTGACTGTGAAAATAGAGCTTTTAAGGAGCTAAAATGAAAGTCATGAAACACTCATGATCCTCCCCCGCCCCCCCCCCAAAAAGGACCTGCTTTTTTGCTTAGTGTGTCTTAGCTTAGAAGGCAAAAGTATATTTGAGCTGAGGCATTGAGTAAAAGCATCTCCCTGTGTCAGCTTTAGCTTAGGAGTCACAGTTGTTCAGGAGTTGTAACTGATATCTGGCATTCCAGTATTGAAATTAACTAGCATTAATAATTGACACTATTCCCTGGGTTTCCTGTTTGCTGTCTAATGATTGTTGTTTGCTATGTTGGCTGCTTAATGTGTTTTCTAAACTTGCTTTTTAATCTGTCCCCAAAGTAGCCATTTTTCAGACTGTTTTATCTTTCACCTCTGTTTTGATGTTTATTTCTTTTCTTTCAGCTTTCTAGTGACATGACACTGAAATTATTATCATCTAAGCCACACCCCAGGGTATATGGTATTACTCAGTGCCCTCAAACTGTATCATTAGCTATTATTTGCTTGAAAAAAATCTTAATGAACCATAGAAATGTCTTGTCTTAACTTGTATTGGCTGAAACTTCATTCCATGGATACTGTATCGTCCCAGTGTTCATTCATTTATGAAATTCCTATTTTTGTGCCAGATACTGTGTTTCAGTGCTGAGAAAACAAAGAAAAAATAAGCCCAACTCTCAAAGGGCTTGCATTCTACTGAGCCAGATTTATATAGATGAAAATGAAATTAGATGTCCTACCCCATTTCACAAATGAGTCCCCAAAATTCAAAGTTTTCTAGCAACATGAATGCCAGATTTTGTTCTCCATAAAGAATAGCTTAAATTAAAATACTGGAGAAAACACATTAATTGTCTTGAAAGCAAAATTACTATGTAAAGAGATTTAGCCCCAGGGGAGTAGCCTTTAATGAGTGAAAAATAAGTCTAATTTATTCATTTTATCACATTCTTCTCTCTTTAGAGAGTTATAAACTGAACTATTGTAAGATGGCAGCTCTTGGAAGATTTCTTAAAAGGCTGGTTTTTTTTTTAAAACAATATATGAACTTTTATCATTAATTTAAATCATTTACCCCTTGGAATCTCAGTAGGGTAAAGAAATCTTTCAATGAAATGTAATTTGGTATTACAGTTGAGACCTTCCTGATTTTTTAAAGGCATTCATTTCAAATATCTTGAAATGCTAAATAAAAATGATAATATCTACTACTTTTACCAGTGTTGTTCCAAATAAATTCAAAAATTAAATTGCCCTCCCTCAGTCAATTATTGTGGAGAGTTGGATATAAGCCAATAAGTTGGAACCTTATCTATGTGTCAGTACTGCAATTCTGGGGACAAAGTTGTGTTAAAAACACACCAAAAAAATATTGCCTAAAACTTAGAAAATAGGATTTGTGAAAGTATTTTGTTCTGTTTATCTATTAGTGTTAGGCCCTAAGAGTCTTAGTCTCTTTTTTAATTAAAAAAACAGTTTGGAAAACATATTTCTGCTTATTCATTACTTCTCAGAAATGTTTTCCCCCCAAGATTGTGTACAGATAATACTATAATTGCACTAGGAATTACTTATTTAAGATCAGTAAATATGAATGTTTATGTACATTTTACTCCCTCTTTCCTTTAATTTCTTATTCTTTCCACTCCATTATCTAGTTGTTTTCTTATTCTGCATAAACATTGGTTTCAGCTAATACTTTCTCAAGTCCATTGATGTGAATATAAATTTGATATAAATAATTACTGCTCATTTTACTCTGGGCTCTATATAATGTCTCATAAATTTTTTTTCAAGTGTTCTAAGGGATTTTGATTACAGAGAAAAGAAATGAATGCTCTTGACCTATTTCTGCATCATACAAAGTCCAAGACTCCTTTCCTTTCCCACAAGTAGCAATGGGAAATTCTTGACATAAAGGCCCTTTCCTTGAAAGAGATAACTGACAGAAGTGTGATAAATCTCCTATCTCCCTGTTATCAAGGGGTGCCTTAAACTTGTTATCCTCCTAGGGTCACCCTTCACCAGCTTCTTTGACTTAAATAGTAGGTTAGCTCACTTTGTAATAATTCATTTATGCTAGAGACTTCCTGGGTTAGCACAAGCCCATCTCTCTTCCAGCTTCAAATACCTCAAAATACTACTAAAATAAAATCTCTTACCCCAGGGCCTTTATTAAGTTAAATACTGATTCAATTAAGTTGACTTTTGTTTTGTTGTTTAATCATTTTTCAGTCATGTCTGATGCTTCATGATCCTATTTGGGGTCTTCTTGGCAAAGATACTGGAGTGTTTTTGCCATTTCCTTTTCTAGCTCATTTTACAGATGAGGAAACTGAGGCAAAAAAGATTAAATTATTTGCATAGGTTCACACAGCTAGTAAGTGTCTGAGGCTGGATTTGAACTCAGGAAGATGAATCTTCCTGACTCCAGAACCAGGACTCTATCCACTTCATCACCTTTTGTTACCACTAACTTTAGTAAAACAGTAATAGGCTTTTAATAAAGTTCCTTTGGAGGAGGTAACAGTCCTCCTTGAGGGCAGGTTATTGGTCTTTCTTTCCTTCCTTTTTTCTTTCTTTCTTTTTTTCTCTCTTTCTTCCTTTGTTTTTAGAAATCTTGAGCGGAAATTTAGAGATCAATAAAATGATATGCATATAATTTATGTATGCAAGTCACTAAGAACCCAGGACCTTTCACTTCAAAATTATTGACAAAGATCCAGTTGAAATTGGCCAGAAATATGTGGTTTGATGGCTTGTGGTTGCTATGGTAGTGGATATGGAAACTCTGATGAAGTTCTTCCATGAAAAAAAAGAACATCATTTAAGATATGGACAAAATAGCAAAGGAAGCAGTATAATTCCCACAGTTGCTGAACAGTGGCACCTAAGAGAAGAACTCCTGTAACACTTGTCAAAAACTTGTACTTCTGTTCTCTCTGGGCCTCAGTTTCCTTATCTATAAATGAAAGGTTGGTCCAAATGACCTCTAAGATGCCCTTCAGTTCTAAATCTATGATCCAATATCCAACATCTAAATCTGTGTTCCAACCAGAAACAAACCCTGCGCCCACCTCAGATTTTCATTCATTTCTAAAGTTAATTTTAGCTATTATTTACATTTGTTAGTACTGCTCATTCCTACCGACCGTTCCCCGGTAGCTTAACAATCATCGCTAAACAGAATCCTGTTATAAACACATTCTTATAAAAATACATTAGAAAGATAAAGGGATTTTATTACATTTTACTTAAACACATTTGAAGCACTGAGGTAACACAGTGGATTGAGTGCCAGGCTTGGAGTCAGGAGAGCTCAGCTTCCTAAGTTCAAATCTGGCCTTAGAGACTTAGAAGCTGTGTGACCCTGGGCAAGTCACTTAACCCTGTTTGCCTTAGTTTCCTCATCTGTAAAATGACCTGGAGAAGGAAATGGCAAGCCACTCCAGTATCTTTGCCAAGAAAATGGGGTCATAGGGTCATGAAGTGTCAGACATGACTGAAACTACTGAACAACAATACCCATGTGATTGCCTTTGAGCTTGGACTTTTCAGTACCATTGCATTTCAGTGAGACTTGGAAGGAGTATTGGATTTGGGGTCAGAAGACCTGAGTTCTAATCCTAGCTCCTTTGCTTACTCTATAGTATCTTAGACAAAGCCTCTGTTTTCTCATCTACATAAAATAAAAGGATTGAACTAGATTGTCTCTAAACTCTTTTCCACCTCTAAATCTATCATCTTATTATTGTCATTTTGCTACAATTCATAATTCAGTTGTGGCTTTCTTGAAACAGATATCACAAATTGCTGAATTAAATTACTCCAGCCTCAATTTCCATGTATTTTTTAAAATTAATTCCTTGTTTTATAGGATCATTGATTTAGGGCTGGAAGGGACCCCAGAAACCACTGAGTCTAATCCCTTCATTGTACAAATGAGTAAATTGGGGCACAGAGAATTTATATGACTTAACCAGGGTGACACAGCAACTTACTCCTGTGAGAAGCAGGATTCAAGCCCAAACCCTGTCAAATAGTATAACACCCTTATCAATTATACAGCACTGCCTCTCATTTCAAATTTTCAGGGAAATTCCTTTGATTTGCAGTATAGGTCATATCAACATTTATTCTCACTATTTCCCAGCTTGATAAACTCATACCTGACACCACCAGAAGAATTTCAAACATAAGATTATAGTTTCAGATGCAGCTTTTCTAACATAGTACTTTCTTATTTTCATAAAATGATTTAAACATTTTCCCCATAAGTGAATTGTTAATCAGTGGTTCTGTGAACCATATAGCTCTTTTCAGTGATAACATGGCAGGCCTTGGGCATCAACCGGTTTTGATGAAGTGGAGTGATGTTTCCTTATATAAATGCCACAAGTAATGTGGCATTTTGTTTTAAGTTGATGAACTGAGCCATATTTTCTTGCAAACCTTTTATCCCTGTATCTTCTACCCATGGACCAAGTTTCTTGTGTCCATTAAAAATGACATTTTTGCTGCCCACCATTTTGTTTTAAGATGACAGACTCATGTGTCTTGATACTCTTTAGTAATGGCAAATTTGGGTCCTAATCAATCAACTCCTTTGCAAATCATCATGGAAAAAACAGAAATATATAAAGACACCAAAATTTTGTGAATTAAAATTTGAGACTTATCAAAATAAAAAGTATATATCAATATAAATAAATAAATAGACCCATCTTTAGAATGACTTTATTTTTTACTCTCACACTTGAGAATCCTAGTGTATTTTGACATTATATTCTTGTTGGTAACAGGAAAGCTAATGGCCTCCTTACTATGAAATAGCTCTAGCAGGAAATTTGTTCTAATTATAATGATATTTCTCCTCCTCTTTCAAGAGTCATTTCATCATTTTTTAAAATATAAGAGTATAGGATCAAAGTTAAGTGACCTGTATGAATCTTACTTTGTTTCTTTTTTTAACCAACTTTATAAGCTTTTTGCTGACATAGAGCTTTGAACCAACACTATGGATGCTGCTTTCCCATTTGTAAAAGAAAGCATTAGGAAAATGCCTAGAACTCTAGAAAGGGAGAAAATAAAAAGATAAAAGCCCAAATCAGGTGAATTAGAGAAGAATCACTTCCCCATCCTTATCAACCTACTGCAATTGACCCTCCATATTCTCTTGATCTACCTTAGTTTACAATCAAATTTTCCTCAAGTTTATTATCCCTAGAAGAAAAGACTTTGTATAGCTTGAAGAATAATTTCTATATAGTATGTCTAATGTTTATATTTAGGATGATGTGATTGAAAAATGACATTTTTTTTCTGGGAGACTGAAGACACATTTGGCCTTCCAGACAATATAGTTATGCCTTTTATTGACTAATGTTCATAATACACATAAACCACTGGAATTCATATTTTCTTCTTAAGTCTGAAATCCATCATGGAGGAAAATATATGATGGGGAAATAAGCAGAACCAACAAACCCCTTGTTCTCATCCCAGTCTGATACTTTCCAATTGTGTGTTTAACTGTCCAAAATGAAAATCTCTCTAATATGCTGGCTATTGTCAGTGTTGTAATTTGAAAGTTAAGTTTGTAGCAAACCCAATTTGCTTTCAAGGATCTTATCTTTTGGTAAACCTGAAGTTGACTCTCGTCAATCCTGGTGTTTCTTGCTGTTGTTTCCATTCTGTTTCCTCAAAGGATGCTGACCTGTTGGATGTAGAAAGCAAACACTTTGAAGATCTAGAATTTCAGCAGCTGGAGCATGAGAGTCGGTTAGATGAAGAGAAAGAGAAGCTGACCCAACAACTCTTACGTGAAGTAGCTGAATATCAAAGGAGCATTGTCACTAGAAAGGTAATTCTACTGAATGCTTTTTAAAAGTTAAAAAAAAGTTATCACACAAAGCACAAATACCATAAACTTTATCAAACAAAAGTGGTCATAATCTCATTATTGCAAAGCACTTTATGTGTTTTAAAGTCCTATGTGATTATTATTACTATTAATTATTAGTTATGGTTTTTATTAGTATGTACATATATATGTATGTGTAGGGGTAGGGGAAAATTCATCATAGCTTTGGGAGGATCATAGAATCACCATAATGATGAATAATTGCCTGAAACCACATTGAGAAAATGTCATTGCCTTTGTTATACTGAACCTTAAGTTCATCATTAATAAAAGAGGAAAGATTTTATTTTTTTTCTCTTGTGAGAACCAAGATAGAGGTGGGAAATGTCACTTCTCTGGTCATTTGTCTTGACCTATTTCCCTTTGGAACCAAAATATCCAATGTCCATAATAGCACTGCAAATGGTTGAGTCTTTGTTGGGAATGGGAGTGGGGGGAGGAGAATTTCCTCTGTTACTATTGTGTGCTGTTGACTATCTTATCATTACAAATAGCTAGATGGGACTAGGGGCATCTAGGTGGCACAGTGGATAGAACGTTGCCTGGAGTCAAGAAGACCTGAGTTCAAATCTGGCCTCAGACGTTTTACTGGCTGTGTGACCATAGGCAATTCACTTAAGCCTGCTTGCCTCAGTTCCTTCATCTGTAAAATGAGTTGGAGAAGGAAATGGCAAACCACTCTAGTATCTTTGCCAAGAAATCCCCAAATGGGGTCACAAAGAGTCAAACAACTGAAAAATGACACAACAACAACAAAAAGGATCTGTTATCTATTGTTATCTGTTTTCTACTAGGAGAAAATTTCTGCATTAAAGAAGCAAGCTACTCATATTGTCCAGCAAGCTCAAAGAGAACAAGATCATTTTGTGAAAGAGAAAAATAACTTAATACTAATGCTACAAAGAGTAAGTGGTATCTCTCGGCCGTCTGAACATTTTCAGAAAAGTGTTCTCTTTGTTTTAAGTTTTGTTTTGTTTTGTTTTGTTTTTTCATTTTTCCCTAGGTCACATTTACCTAAAGTATTAATAATCAATAGTTTGTTTATATTTTAATGTTCTAAAGATTAGGTATTTTGTAGTATTATAACACACATTAAACCCTCAAATTTGAAACATTTTCATATCTATAGATTTAGATACATAGACATATTTTAATGTAGCTTTTAGAAAGATAATGCTTTGCTTCCATCAAACATTCGGTGTAATCTGTTCATAGCCCTGCCAAATATAGATTTTCTTTTGTCTCATGAGGAATTACATAATTTGACTTAACCATAATTATATAATATGACTTAATCATCTTGTCAGGTGAATGGTATGGCTTGGGGGTCCAGACCTTACACATTTATTCCATTACCTTGTTGGGGTGCCTGAAATGCTCACCATAGTCATTGCTTTGAATCAAGGAATTGTGAATATAGAAGTTATTGAATAAAAAGAGTAGTTCTTAGAGTCAGGAGAACTGGGTTTGAATCCCAGCTATAGCGTTTACTAGTTGTGCAACCATTAGGACAGTAACTTAACCTCTTTTGGCCTCAGTTTCCTCATCTGTAAAATGGGAACAATATTTGCATTAACTTTTTTTTAAAAAATAGATTTTATTGATGCCTTTTGTTTCTGAATCACCTACATTTTCCCCTCTATCTCTTCTCATCCCTCCCAAATAACCATCTTTTATGATGGTGAATATTTTAAATGAGGAAAATGAGAGAGGAAAAAAACCTCAGCAGGCCAGTCAATTAATTTAAAAAGTATGAGATTACATGCAGTGTGGTACACCCAAGGACCCCAACCCTCAGAAAGAAACAGGGGAAAATGTGTTCTCATACCTATTCTTAGGAAAAGCAGTCACTTTTTAAATCTTCAAGTACTACATAAATGTGCATTACTACCATTACCTTATTGTTATTTGGAAATGGTAATTGAGTAGTAGTCATATAATACTATATGCCATAGATTAATACAGGGTATCCCAAAAGTATTAGTGCCATTTTAAGTTATTAAAGAGTATAAAGACTGGAAAACCTCATTGGTTGATTTTGATGTTGCTTAGAAGAAAACAGGACTGAGGACCAGCATATAGAAACTACAAGATTCCTGTGGTTCAGATTAATATTAAAGCTTTCATAGCTTAAAATGTACCAACATTTTTGGACACCTTTTATATAAGATCAGTTAGCCAAACCAGAATCCTCAAGGAGGAGGTACATTATCTAGACATTTTGACAGGGAAGCCTCTGGAGAGCAGGCCAGAGACAAAGGAAGAAGGAGGAATAGAGGAAGAGAATGCTGGGCTCCAAAGACAGGAAAAAAGACTTCAAAACAGAGTGAGAGAGTGTTGCCACAGATGAGCTTGACTGACTTCACAATTTTACCTTTGGTGGGCTCTAAGCTTAACAGGATCTTGTGATTTTATAGGAAAAGGAGAACCTTTGCAATCTGGAAAAGAAATATTCTAGCCTTTCTGGAGGAAAGGGGTTTCCAGTCGATCCCAATAGTCTAAAAGAGGTAAGCAGAGTCCTTGGTTGCTTTGAACTTGGATTAATCTCAATTTTAAGTCTCTGGAAATACTTAGCACTTGTGTTCTGATAAAGACAGGATGTATGAAAAAGAAGCGGTATCAAAGTTTTCACGGTCTAGCTGTGGTCAACCTCTTTCCTTATGTACTTTGGAATTTTCCAGTGATTATCTTTTATGTTAAATGGTAACTTCAAGGCACATGCTAAATGTACTTTAATACACAGTGAAAAAAACTTTGGTCCTCTCTGACTAATCAAATTTGATTTGACTTTAGGAATAGCACTAACTTAGAATTTCAGAAACAGCTCAAGGCAGAGCCAATATTGGTCTGTTTTTAGTGCTCAGATTCTGTCTCTTTTTCTTGATTTGATTTTCTGGCTGAGTTTCAGAGAAGGGAGAGAAACACACTTAAAATGTCAGTTCCTTAAACAGTGTTTCTCTGATCTGATTTGAATGCTTCCTTCCCTGATTCCTTTCCACTTTCCATACCCATATCACCCCTCCTGTGTTTAATTTCTCTCTGTCTCTGTCTCTCTCTCTCTGTCTCTCTCTCTCTTTCTCTCTCTCTCTCTCTCTCTCTCTCTCTCTCTCTCTCAAAGCCCCTATATAGATCAAGGTGAATATTCCCTTCTAATTCCCATATTCATATTCATTTTTTTTATGCTTTCCTTCCCAATTTTTTTTTGGTAGAGATACAAATTACATACCAACATTAAGATTATTTTGCTACTGACTCAAATGTTCAAAATTTATTTGGGAAAAAAAAGTCCTGATTAGGGCAAATAGTGAATTACTTGAAGTGGCTGCATAATTCAAATCCATACGACATATTTTTTGGGCTGGAATCAATTACCAAATTTTTTATAATTATAATTTTAATAGTGTGGATTCGAATATACAGGCACACTTCAAGGGATTCATTATTCATAATAATCAGGATCTACCCATTATTTAAGCATTCAAATCATTACTATAATATACATTGTATAGTTTGAAAATAATAATAATAATTTTAAAAGACTGAAAAAGCCTGCAAGCTTTTGTTGACATGTGAAGACCGGAAAACCTCTTGTTAATTTTAAAGTCACTTAGAAGAAAACAGGGACTGGCATATGTAAGCTATAGGATTTCTATGGTACAGATTAATATAATAGTTTTCATACATGCCAGTTAAAGTATACATTACATTTGAACACAACCCATGTTTGCAATATTAGTAAGTAATGTTGCTGTTGGAGAATGCATTTCTCAAGGCAGATTTCTTATCTTATTCTCCTTTATAATCTCTCTAGTTATTTAGAAATCTTAACTAAAGCACTTGCTTTTCTTCTACATACCTGACAACTTCCTAGTTTCACTCTTTATTTCATTTTTCCTCCTATTCCTTTATTAAATGCAAACCACATAGGACTTGAGGAAGCAACTCAAAGGTACTTTCTAAGAAGTTATTGTATTGCTTTTTTCCCATTGCTTTTTGATTCTTCTGATACCTCTTTGAAAGTGAACTTTAAAAGATTGTCTCATTTAAAGCTATTTTAAGATGGTGAAGACTTAGAAAATAGGTTCCCCCCTAGGGAACTGTGAAATGGCTTTACCTGAGGTCCTTATACTTGTTGTCAGTCCTTTTTGTCTCTGTTTCTTTTTTTATTTACTTATTTAGAATGTTATGTTTTACTTTAAACAGTTGATTACATGGTTAGTAGTAAACCAACTAAGCTTTGCATGTTTATTTGTTAAACCCAAATGCATGAAAGTACCTCCATGGATCAATTCCATTTATTTCTAGGAGAAATTCCAGTATACAATAAAATTCATTGTAACTATATTTAAAATGTAACAACTATTCAAGCTGCTCATTGATTTAATTTCTTGATGTTTTAGGTATAGTAAAATTCCATGATGACAAATCTGAGAGGGCTATTCTCTTGTCTTCTCTAAGTTCATTTTAAAAATTTAACCGCTATAATTTTAAGCATCAACCATGTTCTGGACACTGTACTAGATGCTAGATAGCTAGGTGGCCCAGGGGATAGAGCATTGCATTTGGAGACATAAAGATCTAAGGTCAAAAGCTAGTCATTTTGTCACTCTGAGCCTCAGCATCCACCTCACTGGTGAGACTCAAATGCAAGGTGCTTTGCAAACCTTAAAGTACTGGGTAGATACTAACGCTTATTTATTTATTTATTCATTTATTTATTTGTTTATTCATTCATTCATTCATTCATTCATTCATTTATTTATTGGTGAGGCGATTGGGGTTAAGTGATTTACCTAGGGTCACACAGCTAGGGTCAGGTGTCTGAGGCCAGATTTGAACTCAGGTCCTCCTGACTCCAAGGCTGGTGCTCTATCTACTGTGCCACTTGGCTGCCCCCCCAATGTTTATTTCTATCATCATCATCATTGTTGTTGTCATCATTACACTGAGGAAACAAAAAGAAAAAGCAAAACAGTCCCTGCTTTCAAGATGTCAATGCTTTCACATTCAATAGATGTTTATTATTCGCCTTCTATGACCATGGCATTATTCTTGATGCTAATAACTCAAAGATGAAATAAGATACAGTTCCCACCCTCTCGGAGCTCTGAATATCATTACTAAATTTGCTAATCAGTTTTATTAGAAAAAAAAATTTTGTCACTAGGGCTACAGTGAATTTAAAGGTGACTCTTAAATTGGTTAAATATGCAGTTTGGAACCTCTAGTCCTATTCTATTCTATCAGAGTAAAATGGAAATTACTCTGTGTTTTCAGTGAAGCATCAGCTGTAGTAGGACTTATCAAGGTAGAAAAACTTCTGTTGTAGTTCTAGAACTGTGTCTGTCTTTCCAGGACGAGCCTACCTGAGGTCAGATGGAGTTACTATCAGGAGGCTAACATCTGAAAGATGCACATTTTGGCCCCAAGAAGCTAGTAAAACTCTTAATGAGATATGAAAGGGTTGTCACTGAAATCAGTGTAATATGCATCCCCAAGAATAAAGTCATGGGTGCTATGATTATAAGGTAGTAAGTATAGTTTGGAAGAAATGCAGGCTTTTGCTAATTTGGGGCCAGTGGACTTGAGCTTAAATACTGGCATGGCTACTGTTAACTATATGACATTGAACAAATTACCTAATCTTTCTGAGCCTCCATTTCTCCAATGAGAACTGGAAGACTTCTAAGAATCATCCCAGCTCTAGCTCTATGTATGACTGTAATTTGGTATAACAATATAAGCATATCTTCATAGCAATTCAAGGTATATTCTTTTTAATTTGCAGTTGTTTGTCTTAGAATTTATTCAATTCACTATCCCAGTTGGTTTTCATGATGCTTACCTAACTAAATGTGAAATGATCAGGAGTGCTACCAGGAAGACTGCCAGAGCAATGATACAGGAGGGGACAAAGCTATGGTTCTAGATTAGTGGTTTGGCTTTCAATCATTTCTTGCTAGGAACCATGAGTAAAGGTTGGAGAAAGGAAGCTCTTACAATGTGACTGCTCCTGCCTATAAGCTCCTGAGGTCAGGAACTGTCTTTTTGTTTGCATTTTTATCACCAATACTTACAGTGCCTGGCACATAGCAAGCATTTAATAAATGCTGATTTCCTTCCTGCCTCCCCCACCTTCTCTCTCCTACTTAATTTCTGAAAGGAAAAAAAATTAATATTCATCTATATGTATCAAGTTAGGAGAGAGCTGTAGGTGTAAAATATCTTGTTTCTTCTTCCTTTTGTGGAATTCAATTTGGATTCTGATTATTCTCTCTCCAAAACTTTCCTGTTTCTTCTTCAACCATAATCCTGCTTTGGAATGGTGAGTAAGAAGATTAGTTATTGGATTTTGATTTCAGGGAAAAGAAGAAATCCATTTGAGAAGTATACAGAAGTTAAGAAAGATAGGAGGAAATTATAGATGAGAAGGTTTGGCAAAGAGGGATTAATATTGGCATATGAATAGCATTTTGCTCGGTGTGTGGTTTTTTTTTTTAAATTTGGGACATAATTCATCCATATCCACACTGTATTAAATTAAAAAAGCAACATATCTTGCAGGAACCTTACTGATCACACAGCAATTACAAAATTGATGTTGAGTGTTTTGTTGAACATGAATATCTTATACAACCTACCAAGATTAGTGGATTAAAAATTCACAGTGTAGTAAAAATACACTCAGGAAAATTTAGCACTATGGACAGATACATGCAGAAGATGAACAAAGGCAAACAAGTTGTATACCTTTATTAACTATAGTGCCAAGTTGCAGTAATATTGCTTTTCTCCATTATAGTAAATACCTTTCATTAACAGTTGTAGATATTTCACACACATCTAAATATACAAGGGTAATTTTCACTGATCTGATACACACATACTTTAGTCTAAGTGGATTAACAATGAACTTTCTGTGACACTCCATGAAAATAAGCTGTCAACCCCATGCAAGTCTGCTTGGTGTGGCAGTCATCACTAAAATAGATGACAGATTAAAGCAAAGAACATTATGAACAATCAAATTGAAATCTCATAGAGAGGCAATGTGATTCCATGGGAAAAGGGTGTTACCTCTTTCCTCTACCAGGAAAACTTAAGTATAAATCCCACCCCTGAAACACACCAGCTGTGTGACCTGGGCAAGTGACTTAAATCTATCAAGGCTCTAGGCAACTCTATAAGAATATAAGTTGCAGAGAAGGTGCTATTAGTAGAGGAAGTGTATTCACCTGGGTGTACCTTACACTAAAGAAATCTCAGGTTCAGCCTCTATTCCTGTCCCTCTGACTCTATTATATACCAGCAGTCCTCAAAGTATGATCCAGTGACCCCACCTCCCAGGCCCTTATTTTCATAGATAATACTAGTAATACTAAGACTTTCATTTTTAATGCAGTAAATATCAATAAATATAACCCACATAAACAAAAGCTCATGGGAAGGGTTGCTCAATTATTTTTGAGAATGTAAAGGGGCCCTGAGACCCAAAAGTTCGATAATCATGGTTTTATATCAATGTAGTCACAGGTCTGGGTGAAAAAACAAAAAATCGAAAGCTAATTAATGTCCATATTTGCATCCTCAGCAGTAGCACATTGGGAATTTTAGAGTATACACAGATATTTTAAGAACATTGCATGATATTTGTATATATCATTTATATAATGACCATTAAAATTGTTGAGTCATTAATCAATCAATAAATTATTTATTAAGTGCCTTCTATGTGCCAGTTGGGGCAGAGGGGCTTGTATAGCTCAATGAAACTATGAACTATGCCATGCCAGATTATCCAGGATGGACAGGTCATAGTGGAGAGTGCTGACAAAAGGCGATCCACTGAAGAAGGAAATGGCAAACCATTCCAACTCCATGAGCAAGAAGCTGGGGTGTTATGGTCCACAGAGTCACAAAGAGTCAGACACAACTAAACAACAAATGTGCCAGTCACTGTATCAAGCCCTGGGGATACAAAAAGAGGCAAAAGACAGTCCCTGCCCTCAAGGAACTTACAATCTATTTGGGGAGACAACACAAAAGAAAGTATATACAAAGTAAACCACATACATGATGAATAGGAAACAATGAAGAGAAAGAAGGCATTGGAATGAAGAGGGGTTGGGAAAGGCTTCCTGTAGAAGGTGGGCTTTTAGTTGGGACTTAAAGGAAGCCAGGGAGGTCAATAGAGCAGAGTACTCAGTTTCTAGCACTTACAGTGCTCTCTCCTGTGAAAGAGACATGATGAAAACATTTTCATTCAATTTATTTATTTGACCAGGGTAGGGATGAAGAATTTACACAGCATAGCACACATTTAACAAAATGATAATATATGTTTTTTTCAGACCCTAGTTGAGATCCTCCTCACCTGGACTATTGCAGTGATCTCCTAACTTGATCCCTTCTTCCAGGATCTACCCTCTCCAACCCATCCTCAACAGAATGCCAAATTGATTTTCTATTTTTTCTGTTAAAATTATATTGTATATTTTGTTTTTTTCCTATAACCTTTATTTCTTAAAAGATCCCTTCCCCTGTCTGCCCACTTGGAGAGAAATCTCTTAAAACAAGAAAAACAAAGAAAGAAAATAAAAAGTCAGTTCCACCCAATTAACCAACACATAAATCAAAACCAACAATTATTTACAATAGCCATAGTTTTTCATCTTGGTGAAGAAAGAAAGATGGAGGTACATTCTCATACCTCCTAGAGGGACAAACTTGGTCGTTATAATTCTAAGCTGTTTGGTTTTGATTTGTTTTTCTTTCCTTTTATATTTTTGTAGTCATTATGTATATTGTCTTGACTGGTTCTGCATATTTCATGATGTGTCAGAACATAGGATCATATAATCAGAATTGGAAGGGAACTTAAAGGCCACCAAATCCAATACCTTTATTTTACAGATAAGCAAACTGTGATACAGAAAGGTTAAGAGACCTGTCCAGGTTTATATGGCAATAAATAAGTGTCAGAGGTGGGATTTGAACCCAAGTCTTCCTGACCCCAAGTCCAGTATTCTATCCATGTGATACCATGTTGCCTCTGATACATCCATATAATTTTTCCATGCATCCCAATATTCTTCACATTCATAGTTTCTTAGGGTATAATAATCTTCTGTCATATTCATGCAGTATAGTCTGTTTTGAATTTCCCTAATCTTTGGGCATCTACTTTATTTCCAGTTTTTTTGCCACTATGAAAAGGGCTGCTGTAAATATTTTCATGTATCAGATTCATATTCTTACAGTACATGGTTCTGACCATGTAACTACCTTGCTTTTGAAGCTTCACTGTTACTACTGATTTTGGGATAGAATACATACTCCCTTGACATTCAAAAGCCTTCACAGTTCTAACTTGAACTTCTATTCTAGAGTGATTTCACATCTTTCCCCCAACCAAACTGGCTTGCTGGCCATTTCCTATCCACACCCTTGCACAGGCTCTCCTGTCCCCTCCTCCATCCACCATGTTTGGAATGATCTCCCTTGCCACCTCTTTGAATTCTTAGCTTAAATCAAGTCATAAATGCCTCCTCTTGCTACAAAAGGCCTTATTTGGTAACACCCCCAACCCCAAGTTATTAGTGATCTTCCTGCTTCCCACCCCCACACAATTACTCAGAATTTACTTTGTAAATATGCTGTACTTACTTATCTGCATATATATTGTTTCTCTATGGTTAAAGGTAAGAGCCTCCAAGGCAGCCAGATGGCTCAGTGGATAGAGTGCTGGGCCTAGAGTCAGAAAGACCTGAGTTCAAGTCTAGTCTTGGACACTAGCTGTTTGACTTTGGGCAAGTGCCTTAACCTCTATTGACCTAGGAAGCAGATAGATTTCTCAATGGATAGAGCTCTGAGTCTATCGTCAGGAAGACTTGAATTCAAAGCCAGCCTCAGACACTTACTAACTGTATGACCTTGGGCAAGTCATTTAACCTTTGTTTGCCTTAATCCCCTAGAAAAGGAAATGGCAAACCACTACTGTATCTTTGCCAAGAAAACCTCATGGACAAGCATTGATGTGCTATGGTCCTTGCGGTCACAAAGAATTGGATGTGCCTGAACAACAACAACAAAGATCCTCAAAGGCTATTCTTTAGTCTTTTTGTATACCAAAAGCCTAACACATAGTAGGTACTTAAAAGTGACCATAAAATTGAATTGATTTGAATTTCATATAAAAAATTTACTAATCCACCTTAGGAAGACATATGCTTTCATCTTCTTTTCTAAAAGTGGTAATGGTATTCCCACTATCTTTGCCAATCCCTACTTGTGATCAATGGAACACATTTATGAGGTACACTCCTCTGGCTATAGAAGAACAGAAAGCTAACTGACCCCTGAACATGTCATACTGGCAACCTTGAGCTCTTTGACACGATGCTTTAGTCAGCTGATCAAAGAAATAACAAGAGATTGAGTTCATGTCTTCATTTTGATTGTCTTCTAAATTAACCAGACTAAATCAAATAATATTTAACTCCCAGTTCTATGTTCCCGTGCTAAAATTATATATTGTTCTTGCTGTGCTAAAAATGATATATTGATCTTATGAGCATTACTTATTTCCAAACTATTTAAGCATTTGATGCCATTCTGATGGTATTGAAAAATAATATGCCTTTAGTTTTAGGTGGTTTTTTTTTTTCTTTTAGCCATAACCATGAGTTCTAGGTCAAAATACTTAATTACCTAATGCCTTCATTTCACAAGTCAAAAAAAAAAATTCTCTGCCTTTCCTGAGATCTCCTTTCCAAAAGGACTGATACTTTACCATTTATCCAGGCAATGCCAATTCAGATTGTTTTATAATCATTCCCAATTTGATAACCCCCTTTTTAAAAAAAAAAGTATTTCATCCTTCCCTTCTAGTCTCTTCAGTGGTAATTCAGAGGCCCCAAATTATCTTTCTTTTGTCTTTCATTTTTGTTTGCAGGTGTGTTTATAATAACTGCTAGGTGCTGCTACACCTGGAGTCTGAAAGACATGAGTTCAAATGTGACCTCAGAAACTTCTAACTATGTGATCCTATGCAAGTCACTTAACCTCAGTCAGCCTCAATTTCATCATCTGTAAAAGGGATAATAGTACCTAGGGTTGTCATGAGGATCAAGTGAGGAAATACTTGTAAAGTACTAAGCAAAATGCTTGGCATATAGAAGGTGCTTAATAAATGTTTATTCCTTTCCCCTCCCTTGTCCTTTTGATATACCATTTCTATGATTTGTTTGTTTTTACTATCCAAGGCTTCTCATAGCCATTTATAGCCATTTTTTTATAGGATGAAACCAGAACTTAGTTGCCAAATTGTAGGGTTATGTGAAATCTTCTAACCCAAAGCAAAATTAGCTCAAACTCATAAAAATGACAGTAATTCAACTATCACTCTTGCTGTTCCACATTTATGATGTATGTGAATGTTCATGGATGTGTGTGAACCATTCAACTTTTTAATGAAAGGTTCAATGTAAGGTTTAATGGAAAAAGAGAACATAAACTCATTTTTATTTCTATCTAGTATGTAGTATATCTGTGGTGGTAGACTCAAAATAGATTTCAAACACAGCCATGTCTCTTATGGATTTGATCACTTGTTCCTTAATAATGCAGAAACCAATGACTTACCTCAGCTCATTTTTTCTGTCTCTCATTCCTTCCTCCAGTAACTCCAAAAACACTCCATCCACCCCTAGTCTAAAGTATGTATTTGCTAATTAATTAAGAGACAAGGTTCTTAAGAGACAAAATCAAGGAATGGGGATTTAGGTAATAGGTTCTTGAAACAAAGAGTGGGAAGTACATTATAATAACTTTTATGTGTTGTTAATAATGATTAACCTGTATTTTCACGATGATCAATCCAATCCAAAGAATGAATGGTGGTGCCACCCGGTGTTTTTAAAGGAAAGGTATTTTGATGATTTATACAACAATTATTGTAATGTCACCACAGGGGGAAAGAGTATTGTTAAAAGTTTAGGATACCTTTTCTCAAATTTAAGCCATATAAAAGTGATTTTAAATGCTGATCATTACTTCTTTAATAAAACATTTGGCAATAATACCACAGATATTTGGCTGTGTCACTCTAAACTAACCTCCATTGTACTTGATTCATTAATACTCCTGCATGCCTCAGCTTTTGCTTCCTTTGTATCTAACTTCTGAATTCCTCCTTTTAGGGCTTTATCAGTGTAAATGAAATTAATGAGCTAGGTGGCAATTCCACGAATCTATCCCCTTCTACTCAGCTTTCCACTGATGCTGATGCTGATGCTGATCCCACTGAGCCTTCCACAGCTGTGCTGGTGAGCCAGCCACAAAATCAAGAGGTTTGTTGGAGTGACATTTCATTCATTCACTGCATTTCCTCATGTCATAAATTAACCCAGAATTAACTGCAAATGGGAGGGTGTGTAGCAAATTTATCTGTTTGGGGAAAGGTCAGTCACATTGTGTTGGCGAGACATATTCATTCTTGGGGTTGTAAATAACAGCAGCAGCAATAATAATTAATATTTTTGTTGCAGTATAAAGTTTACAATGTACTTTATGTAGAATGCCTCTACTGCTTATGAAATGTGATTTTATATGAGGGAAGTCAAAACCGAAAGTTAGTTGGGAAGTTAAAACCTGCTAATAAACTTTGCGCCTTACATTGACCAAACCCAGCTCTCATTTCATTAGAAATTTGAAAGAGCTGATTAGAGAACAGGCTAAAAGTATTATATAGAATGATGATTTGCATACAATGATTATTTTTCTTGATATTTGATTTGATATGTGTGTGTCCTCATGAATTTTAAGGCATTCTTTGGGAAGGTAGAATGATGACAATAGTATAAGGAAAATTGGAGCCAATGTTCTGCTGATTTATGTTAAATATTTACTGTTCAGAATTTTGGCAATTAAAAAAAGAAACCCCTCTTTTTTGTGTGTTCTCTTGAAAAGTGCAACAAAATATATTATTAAATCAGGAATCTGATTTGTTTGTGAAATTTGCCTTTTAATTACATGTAGGCACATCCATATACTTTCTCTTCTCTTACAAAGCTACAATCACCTGTCTGTTCTGGATCTCTGTCTCCTCACTCACTTTCTCCTCATCCTATTGCTCAACTTCCGTCAGTCCAGTGGCCTGAAGTCTTGGCTGCCCCACCTGTCAACCCTTTTTCTTTAAATGATACACCTCCTCCTCTTCCGGCTAAAAAGCACCGAAGGCACCAACAGGTAACAAAGGATATAGTACTGATAGTTTGGGTGGCCTTTGCCTTGACAATCAAGTCATTCCTGCTTGGTGATCCCATAGATGTCTGGGTTAGGTCAAAGGAAACAGGATCTGGTCTTTTTCTGAGTGTATTGCCACTATCAGGTATTATTAGGCAAGCCCTCACATAACCCCAAGTTCTGAGTATGCTACCATAGCACATAGTTGAGAGGCTTCAAGAGATAATGGTGGTTAAAATCTTACACATTTTCAACAGTGTTATATCACAGAATTTGAGAACTGGAAGGGCCTCCAGAGGCCATCTAGTACAATCCAGACAGGGAAAGAATCCTCACAGTAACACATCCAGCAAGTAGTTAGCCTCTCTGCTTAAAGAGCTCTAACATAGGAGAGAATTCGTAATGCCTATTAATGCAAATCATTTTTATTCCTTAATCTATAGTAAATCAGTTTTCTGTTACTTGAATTTTGATCTCTTACAAGTGAAGGACTTTTTTTTTAAAACAATACTTTATTTTTCTGTGTCCTCCTCATGCCCCCTACTATTTAGATATTCAAAGCCTGGGTTTTGAGCGTATCTTTTTCAATCTTGTTTAAACCATACATATACGTGAATTCTAAATAGTATTCAGTGTATTCAGGAGTAAAAAAAGGCAAGAAAATGAAGTACATTCATTTGAATTCAAATTGAGATAGTGAAAGCTCACAATGTCCTTGGTGAGTGCTAAAAATAATCCTAAACCAGGGGTTCTTAATCTTTTTTTTGTATGTGACATGGACCCCTTAAGCAATCTGGTAAAAACTATGGACCCTTTCTCAGAATAATATTTTAAATGCACAAAGTAATGTACATACCATTACAAAGGAAACTGATTATATTGAAAAAGTTATCAAAATACTTTTTTTAAAAAAAGTTCAGAGATCCCCTAATGAAGAACACCTACAAATGAGTATTAAAATTTAGATGACTAACTATCCATTCAATTCCATCCTTCTCACCATGCCTTGCCCTTGTATCCCTCACACACACCCCAAAAAAAGGACTATCTTGGCTCTTGCTCTTTAGTAGAGCATTGTTACCCCTACTTATTTACAGATTACTGTTGCCTAAACATGGTAGCAAGAAAGGCTGCTGGTTTAAAGATGGGTGCAGGTAACTGGAATGCATAAGGAAATGTTGCTAGGAATGGAAAAAAAAGATTGTGTATAACTGTGGTTTTCATCCTTTCTCCCTAGAAACTCAACCCTGGGCAAAAAAAAAAATATTATCTAGCAGTGAAATGAGTTTTCAAATCTAGGCTTTGCTATTGAGCATTAGTTGAACTGGGGGTGGGTTGGAGAAGAAAGAGGGCAGGCTCTTTTTTTGGGGGGCGGTGGAGATTTTATCTTTCTTTTATGATATACCAGAAAGGAATCATGGTAGCTCTCTGGATTTTTAGAATTTTTTACTATCTGCTCACAATGGTGGCCAGGAAGTCAAGATTTCTAATATCTTTTTTTCCCCAAGAGTTCTAATAACTTTAAACACACACACACACACACACACACACACACACACACACAAATAATTTGGCAAATTTGTGTTGTTTGAGCCAAACCAAATCACTATGTATTTTTTTCCTAAATAGTGATAGGAATAGGACCTGGAGCTGTGGTTTCAGGAAGTACTAGGGAAGGAAGCTTCCTTTAATAATGTCAGAGAAGTTCCAGGTGGAGAAATTTATATCACCAGTGCTGATCATCACCATCTCTGTAACTTAACATTGTAGAGCACTAACAGGTCAGATTATTGGGCCAGAGTCATAAAACCAGAATATATGAGAGGTCAGGGCCTCTTGACTGTAAGGCCAGCGTTGTCTATGCACTCTGGTGTAATGCCACCTCTAAATAGCAATGACCATTCATAAACAAACAGCTGACTTATACTGTATTAGTGTTCCCTTCTGAAACCCTTGAGGCAGTGCATAGAGCACTGGGCATGGAGTCAGGAAGACTCATCTTCCTGAGTTCAAATCTGGCCTCAGACACTTACTAGCTTTATGACCCTGTTTGCCTCAGTTTCCTCATCTGTAAAATGAACTAGAGAAGGAAAAAGAAAACCACTCCAGTATCTTTGCCAAGAAAACCCTAAATGGACTTATGAAGAGTTAGACACGACTAAACAACCTAAACACTAGATATTAATGTAAAGCTATGGGCCTTATTATCATAATAACAATACTTTTAATATTATATCCATAAAATTACCCTGAGGTATTTACTAATAATATACTAGGCCCACAGTAAAGTTGCTGAGCTCTTCTGCCACACTTTTTAACAGATTGCTTATTTATAATATTGTTTATATGGAGGCAACTGCCTCCCTTTAAGGGTTTCATTTAACGTAGTGTTTTCATTAAGACTGTGGGAGATATGCTAAAACACAGCTGTGCAATTAACAAAATATTTTTCCCATAAGAACTCTATGAGATTGATAGTTCTTGTGTCCTGATCCCCACTTATAGGTGAGGGTAGTGGCCCTCAAAGAGTGGTAGGGACATGTCTAACATCAAACAACTAGGTAGCAGCAAAGGCAAGCTTAACATTGAGGTCTTCTTACTGGTGCCATTGATCTTTCTGTTACAATATGCATCCTTTGAGAATAGGGGACAGGGGGAAGCAAGGTTCAGGGCTGTGGATTCTAACACTTTTGTTTATATGTACATTTGGTTTTTAATTTGTTTGGAAAGTCTGTTGTTAGAGTGATGTTTGCCAACACTGGGGAACAAGGCTACCCCAGTAAGTAAATCTCCCTACTGTCCATGACGTGTTATTGTCAAGAAAAATTTGGATGTATTTCAGGATGTTAAAACTTATATATATTCCTCTTCAGGAAGAAATAAAATGCTCTGCAGGAGGATTTAAGTAGGAGGAAAACTGCTGTTTTGCATCCCTTGGCAAAAGGCATTTAATACGAGTGTGATACCCAGGAGAACACTGAACATGAGAACAAGATGTGGATTTGAGGCTTATATTTTAAAATGATCAGACTGTAGTTAGACTTTCAAAGAACGCCCCTGCTTACTTGCTCTTTCTCTCCATTTTCTACCTTACTCTCTTTTTTCCTCTGTTCCCATTTTCCCATTCACTTCTAAGAACTGTCAGAGACGGGAGAGAAACTATTTATCTCACCCGTTGTGATTGGATGCTTCACCACCCGCAGGTGGATCATGACAATAATTTGTAAGTCTTCCTGAGACACTAACAAAAGTGAAAGCTGAGGAATGATCATTTTTAGCATTTTTAACATTGTCATAGTAAATCCTGTCACCATCCATGCATCTAGTCTTGGGACCAGGGTTTTACTCAGATTTGCTTTGAAGGGGCTGTGTGACTTTGGACAAGATGGTTTACCTTTCTGCTCCTTAATTTCTTAATACATCTTCTAAGATGAGTTGGAATAGATGACCTCTCTAAAGATTCTTCCAGCTCCAAATTCTAGAATAGTTATTATCTCTAAGTCTACATGTTATTGAAAGGAAATGCAAAGACTTAATCAAAGACATGAGCTGTGACAAAGTTCCAAGCTAGGTAACCTCATTCTGATCTGTGCTGAATGCAGTTTCTTTAAATGGTCTATTTCAGTTATTCAGAATTGCCCTTTTTGCTCTGTGATTTGCATTTAAAGCATTTCAGAAATCTGGAAGAAAGAAAGAAGCAGCACAAGGAAGGCCTCTATCTAAGTGATACCTTGCCTCGGAAGAAAACTACACCTTCAGTATCTCCACATTTCAGCAGTGCTACTATGGGAAGAAACATCACTCCAAAGGTGAGATGCGGAGAAGGGAAATACTTACATACTTAGTGTAATTGCTAGGAGGAGCATTCAATGTAAGCAAATTTTCAAAACAGCCTGTGATTCAAAATAAACACACAAACACATACACACACTATAATAAACCACCACACTACTGGTTGCTAAGTGGAGACAATGGGGATGCATCCTGGTACAGAAGAGGAGCATTGACTTGGGATGATGGGATCTAGGCTCAAATTCCAACCTCTGTGTGCTGTGTGACTCTGAGCAGGTCACTTAAACTCTTAGATCTTCAGTGTCTTTATTTGTACAATGTCAGTTAATGAAGCAATTATATCAACAAACATTGTAAGTGTTTAATATGTGCTAGACAGTGTTCTAAGTCCTGGGGATGCTTCCCTCCCTCTCAAAAAAAGTCCTTGACCTTGAGAAGCACATATTCTAATGAGAGAGACAACATGCAAACAACTACGTTTATTCAATGGAAAAGAAGAGAAAGGGAACAAGCATTTATTAAGAGCCTACTATGTGCCAGGTACTGTGCTAAGCACTTTACAAATAGTATCTCATTTGATCATACAGAGTATATATAGGGGGTAATCTCAGAGAGTACATGAATGGGGGCTGTTGGAGGGAGTGGGAGAAAGAAGAACAAAGAAATGCATCTTGCAGAGGGTTGAATTTGATCTGAGTTTTGAAAGTAACCAGGTTGGAATAGATTACCTCTAAGGTCCCTTTTAACCCTGAACCTATGCTCTATGTCAAATAGGGTAGATCTTCCCTTCCTCAGTTACAGGTACCAGCATTACTGCTTACATTATTTTTCATGCATGGTAAACTCCTGGTCAGCCCCTCTATGGCACTTGGTTCCCTACTTGCATATCTTTAGAAGTATAATAGTAAATTCCGTGAGTCTCCATGCAACTTGTCAAGAGACCACTCTTTGGTTTCCTGACAGAAACTGGCCTTTACTATACAGTTCTGTTGGCCTGAAGGCAAGAGCCTCCTTCTTAAGTGCTATAACACTCTTCTCTTCCTCCTCCCTCCCCCCCCCCCAAAAAAAGACTGTTCTGGCTGCCATTTTTCTAAAGTTTTCCTTTGTGATTTTCTGCAGGGTCATTTGCCTCTAGGACAGAGCAACAGCTGTGGCAGTGTCCTCCCTCACTCCCTAGCAACGATGGCCAAAGATTCAGAATCGAGGAGGATGCACAAAGGTACAAACCTTTGGAAACACAGCCCTATTCTTTAACATTTGTATTTGCTTAGTATTTAGGGTAATAGGGAGTCAACCCAAGTTCTAGATTTTGGTTGTTGTTGTTTAGTCATTTCAGTCACATCCAATTCCTCATGACCCCATTTGGGATTTTCTTGGCAAAGATACTAAAGGGGTTTGCCATTTCCTTCTCCAGCTCATTTTACAGATGAGGAAACTGAGGCAAACAGTTACGTGACTTGCCCAAGGTCACACAGCTAGTAAGTGTCTGAGGCTGGATTTGAACTCAGGAAGATGAGTCTTCCTGACTCCAGGCCCGGCTATCCACTGCACTCCCTGGCTCTCCTAGGTGAAATTATTAAGAGTTGTCTATTAGAAAGAGAAGTTCACCAGCACAAATGGAGAATTGTAATCATTAGTTAATATATTCTTGCTATATAGAAAGTGTTTTCTTAAAGAGCAAAGTAAGAAATAGTTTCCAGTGAAAGCTTAGGTTAAAAAAAATGAAAGTTTATCAACTTGTGCAAGACCTTTGAAGTTGTGTTATGTTCAAACATGTTTTAATTCTACTGAAGAAAAACCTGTTTCAATGTGTTTTCTCAAGTGTAATATTCAAATCTGAAAGTCCACAGAAGGTCTAATGAGAGTAATTAATTTCCCTAAGATTATGCCACGGTTACTAACACATCCTTATGTTTTCTGATATCTTCTGATATATTATTGTATTTTCATACTGGAATTGAGATGCCAGGAGGGAGGGAATGTGGGACTGAAAATAAAATAAAATTGAACAACAAAAAAGAATAAATCATAGCAAAAGAGGGAACAGAAGTAGAGTATGATCACATAAAGGAATTTCATCATTCTTGTCATGAAAAGGGACCATTTTGCGGCAGCTCGGTGGTGCAGTGGATAGAGCACTGGCCCAGAAGTCAGGAGGACTTGAGTTCAAATCCAGCCTCAGACACGTGACACTCACTAACTGTGTGACCCTGGGCAAGTCACTTAACCCCAATTGCCTCACCAAAAAAAAAAAAGAAAAAGAAAATGGACCATTTTAAAGTGATGACAAGATGAAGGATCTGACTCACAGGTCTTAGCACAGTGCCTAGCACATAGTCAGGGCTTAATAAATGTTGATTAACTGATCATCCCTGTGTGTATCTGAGGTAGAGTAGAGGAATAGGTCTTGACAGCTGAGGACATTTGTATCAACCCTGGGTAAGTCAATTAATCTCTCTCATAGTTTCCTCATATGTAAAATGGGGATAATAATACCTACCACACAGGGATGCTGTAAGAAGATCAGATGTAATAATTTATGTAAAGTGCTTTAAAACATTAAAATGCTAAATAAATGCTATTAAAAAAAGAATTGGTATCTCAGATTTAAAAAAGTGTGCATTAAAAACAGCTAGGTGGCACAGTGGATAGGGTGCTGGCCCTGGAGTCAGGAGGACCTGAGTTCAAATCTATCCTCAGACATTTACTAGCTGTGTCACCCTGGGCAAGTCATTCAACCCTGTTTGCCTCAGTTCCTCATCTATAAAATGAGCTGGAGAAGGAAATGGCAAGCCATCCAGTATCTTTGCCAAGAAAACCCCAAAAGGGGTCATGAGGAGTTGGACATAAATGAAATGTCTCAATAACAAATGCATGCTTAAAAAGGCAGTGTGGCTTAATGGATAGAGAGACCAATGAAATGACTGATTACCCCCCAAAAATTTTTTTAAGAGAAAGTGCATTGACTTTAACTACTCTTTTACAGGTTAATCCTCCTTAACTTGTTCCATAAAGTGACAAGGGAATTTAGAGTGTGCTCATAGATTGATTTGTGTAACAATTCTGGGATTTACTTTTGCGATTCCTTGGCAAGAGATCAGTCTTTAGTGTGATGCTGGAGCATTTGTCTTCATTTCCTAAGTATGGAGTTGGTGGAATTATTATTGTTGTTTATTAATTTTTGTGGGTTAGAGTTAGGGTTGTTATGTTTTGTTTTATTTTTGCTAAGTACATTGGTGGCCTGACAAAAAGTAAAAGACTCAGCCCTAACATTGTTAGGAAATATTGGTTGACTTCATTAAAAATATGAAAGTAAAATGTTTTTAAGATTGTACTCAGCTCATGGTCTTAACTTAGTTGTAAATGTAGCATGTTACTATCTTTTACCATTGCAACATTAACTAAATTAAAACCAGTAACAATCTACTTCTTTGCTGCTGTTCATGATGTCTTAAGGTCAGCGTTGTAAATATGAGCCTTCCTCAAGTAATGCAGTTTGGGAACTATGCATGACAGAAAACTGCAGAGCCCAAAAGAAAATAGCACTGAAACAGCAATCTCAGAATCTTAATACTTTTAGTTTTAAAGGTTGTTTATTCTAATAGAGAGTAATGGAAAATACTCCTGTAAGTATCACAATGAATAAGATCTTTGTCCTTTTGTCTTTTTTTTTTTCAAATTCAGGAAAACCCAAAAAAGGTATGACATCTTTCTTCAATGAGATAATGTGTGCTTTTTCTGGTTTAAGCGAATGATTAAAAGGTTGCTGTCAAGTCGTCTCCAGGCCAAAATATATCCTGATTTTAAATTGTTGTACAAAGTTATAGTGGCTTAACATTCCCATGAATCTAAATTTTCATTTGCAAACATAGACAAAATTTACCACATACTCTAGAAACTAAAATATATGTTTGCAGCTGCTGTTCATTTGTGGGCAGCTGCTGCTAATAGATAGTCCTTCAAGACTGTGTTCTTTATTTGAGGGTCAGATGCTATTGGAAACACTAGAGTGGTGGAGGCATTATTTGTTAAACATGAGACCCACACAAGGGAAAAGGTGTAGATCATGATGTGGGCCCACGGCAGTTCATGCTGTTACTCCTTTTCAGAACTAGAAAGAGACATCTGGAAATTTAGCCTTTTAATCATTCTTGTTCTCGTTCAGTCATTTCAGTCATGTCCAACTCTTTGTGACCCCATTTGGGGTTTTCCTGGCAAAGATACTAGAGTGGTTTGCCATTCCTTCTCCAGTTCATTTTACAGATGAGGAAACTGAGGTAAATAGGGTGAAGTGACTTGCCCAGGGTCACATAGCTAGTGAGTGTCTGAGGCCAGATTTGAACTCAGGAAGATGAGTCTTCCTGACTCCAGGCTTGGTGCTCTATTCACTGTACCACCTAGCTGCCCTTTTAATCATTCTATTAGTGATTAATGAGGAAAAACATAAATTGATGACCAAAAAAAGTATCGTCATCACTTCTTTAAAAAATGGATAATGGATACATTTAGAAACTGTTAAAGAAGAGAAGATTATTACAAAGTGGATAAGAATATGACCTCAATCATAAGAAGAGTTTGGAATTTGTACTTTTAAAGGCATTAATATTTGCTTTGTGAAAGGATTTGACGTTGTCTCTTTTGAAAACAAACATTTGTAAGTGTGGGCTTGTTTTTGATTCTCATTTGATAATGGCTTGAGTAATGTTTGTGTATGACCTAATAATAATTATACTTTTTAAAAAAAGGTTAGCATGTGCAATGTAATTATTTTTCTTTTTTTTAACTTGAATTCTTGTGTACTTGTACTCTTTGGTCTAACGGACAAATATGAACTGAGTAATTTATTAACATTTAATGGAAGACTCAGTATTATTACTAACATTCTCATTGACAAGCTCTATCTTGGCAGTATTCATTGTATGTTTTTCATATCTCATTGTCATCCTTCATGATCCTGGCCACCTGTGTCTCCTTCCTTTCTCTCTACAACTTTCTTCATTTGTGACATCTACTGTAACTTCCCCCTTCTTCCTCTGGACTGAGATTAGGAAGAGTGAATTTTTCAGCAGGTGAGCTATGGGGTGTTGATTTGATGAAATACCGGTTAGTTTTGCCTTCTTTATCCATGTAAATAATCTATATCTTCTCTTTTTCTAAATTATCTCTCATTTTTGTTACATGGTGACCATACTATCATATTCCTGATTAATTCTGACTGAATAGTGACACATCTTAGCAGAATTCTACCCATCCAAAGATTTGGCAAGTTACTACTACTTATAAGGAAGCCTGTGTGGTATAGTGGGAGGAACAATGGCTCAGGAGTCAGAAGAACTGGGTTCAAATCCTACCTCTGACAGTAACTGCCTATGTGACCTTGGGCAAGTTACCTTCTCATACCTGCCTTTGCTTCCTCACCTGTAAAATGAGGGGGTTGGCCTCTGAGGTCTCATCCACCTCTAGATCTCTGATTCTATGACTCCCATACCAAAGAAGGGTATGGGAAAGGAGAAGTGCGACCCTTAATATATTCAATCTTTGAATTAGTCTAATTCTGATGTGGTGAACACAGGAAGACATAATATCAGCCTGTAGTGGTACCTTGTATCTGCTGTACTGAATAAATAGATTTAGCTCTAACCAATTCCATCCCCCTGCTTTGGGTGAGTTCTCCAGTAAACTAGTTATTTGTTTTAGTACATAAAGGGTGTAAAGTGCTCTTGAAATCCCTTCTCACCTCCTGTATTTCTTTCCTCCTGTTGAAAATTAATTGTTTCTGCCTATATGAACAACTAAGTTATCTGGAATACTGGATCTAGATACTGGAAGGGTTAGTTGTTTTCCTCTGCTACTCTTTTCCATACCCCTCCCCCCCCAATAGCAGTAGATGACCTGTCTTCATTTAATTTGCAGAAGGTGAAGGAGGCTTCTCTACCAATGATACTACTCTGTGAGAAGTATTTCACTGACACTCATTAGCATGCCTTGTTAAAAGAATATCTTTAAAGACTCAGCTTTTCAAAGTTCCATGGCCAGTAAGGAATGAAGAGTTTCATTCTTGTTTTTTTTTTTATTTTGTTTTGTTTTGTTGGTTGGTCTTTCTTTCTTTCTTTCTTTCTTTCTTTCTTCCTTCCTTCCTTTCTTTTTTTTGGGGGGTAGGGGGTTATTGGCAGTGATAAAAGCAGCTAATTTTTTTTTCATTGGTGTGATATAGTTGGC